ATATACACACACACACACACACACACACACACACACACACACACACACACACAGCAGAAAAACACAAGCACATTGTTCTAAACATATTTCTATCTGTGTGTGTGTGTGTGTGTGTTGTGTGTGTGTGTGTGTGTGTGTGTGTGTGTGTGTGTGTGTGTGTGTGTGTGTATGTGTGTGTCTCTGTGTGTGTGTGTGTGTATATGTGTGTGTGTGTGTGTGTAGCTTTGTCCTGGCTGCTGTGTCTCCGGCGGTCGTCGTTCCCTCGATGCTGCTCCTGCAGAGAGAGGGCTTCGGGGTGGAGAAGGTAACTCATTAGACTGATCACAGGTGATTCCTCCCTCTGCCACCAGGGGGCGCAGGACCACGTCCTACAGAACACTAGAACCACCTGACTTACCTTTTATCAGCTTCTATGACCTCCCAATAAGAACCTCTAGAACCTTTTTACTGCCACAAACACCTCCTCCATGACTAGAACCTCCTTAGGAACCTCAACTAAATGAACCCTGAAGCCCCTTTGACAACTAGAACCTTCTAAATGACGACAATGATCACCCAAAGGACTTCTGGAACCGACTCAGGCTGCACTAGAACCTTCTATAGGACCCGTAACACCTCCTCAATCACAACCATCAGATGCTAAAGGACCAGTAGAACCCAGCTTCACTAGCATGTCCTGATGACGCTACATAAGAACCCGCTACAGAAATCACCAGCAGGACAAGAACATATTCTAGTCCAGTAACGCTGTAACGATGTTCTGTGATGTTCTGTGATGTTCTGTTAACGCTGTTCTGTGGTTGTTCAGGGGATCCCCACTCTGCTGATGGCTGCTGGGAGTTTTGATGATATTTTGGCCATAACAGGGTTCTCTACCTGTCTGGGAATCGCCTTCTCTACAGGTCAGGTGTTCTACACCTCTACAGGTGTTCTGTTTCCTTCTGTCCTCCTCCGTCTGTTCTACATGCTGTTCTGTTTCTGCTGCAGGTTCTACGTGGATGAACATACTGAAGGGTCTCCTGGAGGTGGTGGGCGGAGTCATAGCCGGGCTGATCCTGGGTCTGTTCTTGTGCTGCTTCCCCAGCAAAGACCAGGTTTGACATTGTTTTATATTTTTGTTTTATAAACCAAATTTATTTCAAGTTGTATTCTTCTGACTCTGTTGGTCCATCTCGCTGCAGGAGGACCTGGTGTTGACGAGGACTCTGATGCTGTTGGGTCTGTCCATATTTTCGGTCTTTTTCAGTCATGTTATTGGTTTTGCCGGAGCTGGTGGTCTCTGTACGCTGGTGCTGGCCTTCCTGGCTGCTCTGGGCTGGAAAATCGACAAGGTACCTCACATCATCAGAACCACTCCAATCTGGATCAAACATCTGGCTTCATCCTCGTTTAGAGTCTTTTGACCTTTGCCATCATCCAGATGTGTTTGTCTGTCCATCCAGGCCCCAGTGGCAGCCATGGTGGGTCGGTCATGGGATGTGTTCCAGCCTCTCCTGTTTGGTCTGATTGGAGCAGAGATCACCATAGCAACCCTCAGCCCCAGCACCGTGGGTAAGAACAACACACAGAACAACGAATCATCGTATATATACAGTGGAACCACCACACAACCATTTTTACGCCCGTTGTTGGCGTGTTCAGGTCTGGGTCTGGCCTGTATCAGCATCGGTCTGGTGATCCGTCTGCTCGTCACCTTCCTGCTGGTTCATTTTGGAGGATTCAACCTGAAGGAGAAACTCTTCATCGCTGTGGCCTGGCTGCCTAAAGCCACTGTACAGGTCTGTGTAGAACCCACTAGAACCACATCAGTGACCACAAGAGCCACTGAAAGGACCAACAAAACCTCTTCTAGGACTATTCCTAATCACAGAACAGACTTCCAACACCTCCTCAATCATGACTATAACCTCTTAATGATCACTAGACTCACCTACACCTACTAGAACCTTTTAGAGGCTCTCCAGTCCTCCCAAAGGACCACTAAAACCTCCTTACAGTCCACTAAAGCCAAAATGACCTCCTTAATGACTATTAGAACCCTTTAGATAACCTCTAGAACTTCCTCAATCAATTACCAACAGAACCCTCCAATGGACCCCCCTAAAGCCTCCTCAGTGACTATTACAACCTTCCAGCGGACTAATACAACCTCCTCAGTGATTACATGAGAACAGAAGCTCCTCATTGAACACTGAAACTCCAGAAAGGATCACTAAGGATCACTTAGAAAGGCCTTAGAACCACGTATACAACCACTAGAATCTCACCAGTGACTGAGAGAACCACCTGAATGACCCCTACAACCTCCTCAGTGACGGTATAATGTTCTACATGATGACTGTAACCACCCGGAGAACTCAAAAACCTCCAGAACCCTTAGTGATGACAACTAGCCCTTAACCCTGTAAAGATGCCATAGAACCCCCTCGTGCTTATGTGTGTTTGTTTATTTATCAGGCTGCCATCGGCTCGAAGGCGTTGGACATGGCGAGGGAGGAGGGGGACGAGGCCTTAATAAAGTTCGGGTTGGATGTGCTAACGTTAGCCGTGTTAGCCATTCTGACCACAGCTCCCATTGGAGCGCTGGGTATCGGACTGGCAGGGCCCCGCCTCCTGGCCCGGCAGGTCAAAGGTCAGTTGTTTCACTGACTGATGTTTAAAATGAGATAAATGATTAGATCATACTGTTAATGGCATTTTTTAAAATCTAAATCTCAGCAGATGAAACAGAAGGTGGAACCACGCCTCCAAGCAGCAACGGGATTGGTCAAGAAAAAGACAACGTGACCCTTGAGAGCAAGCTATGAGGCCTCTGATTGGACAAACTTAAGCACTCCTTATGTACACTCTTTAGATTAAACTGTATGTAGCCTCAAACAATTTATATATATATCGCTGTATGTTTCTTTCATGCTATGACATGCTAATACTAGCTTTTTGCTAGCTACTGTCACTAACCACGTGGTCAACTGTTGTTCTCTGCTGCACGACAGGACGATTAATACGATTGATTTCATTTGATCGTACAATTACAGAACTCCTTTATAACAGTTTAAAGTTAGATACAAGAGTTATATTTAAAGTTATTGTTTATGAAAATTATTCCAAAAGTTTTGAGTAAGTAAAAAACTTGAGATGTTTATGTTATTAGTTTATAAAAAGGTCAAAATTAAGATTTAGTAATTCAACTATTACTATTACCATCCAAATTACAATATGTAATATATAAACAATGATTATCATAATTTACTGTTAATATTAAAACATGGCGATATATGAAGTTAAACATTTGAATTTTGAATTTTGACTCACAGTTTGGACGAGTATTGTTATTTTTATCATTCCTTACATTACATGTTATTTTTCTGGTTTCCATAAAGAAATATGAGATCACATTAAAAATATGAGGACACAGTTTCATCGTGTGTGTTTATTATTGTGCTCGTACAAAACAGTTTTTCCAGGTCGCGTTGCTATGACACTGGATCAGCTGGTGACGAACAGTGTGTCCCTTTGTTTATTTCAGCCACTGAACAACTGAACATAATGATTTACAAGTTTAATTACCTCTAACGACAAACTTCACTGTGATTTCATAATTAAAACTTGGATGTCGTGTATTTACAAATCAGTAGATTCCAGCTCACATTAATGTCTCTGGTAGTTTTCAGGCGTTATCATTGATTAGAAGTTGTTCATGTGGATTGTTTGGAGTTTGGTGACATCAGGAAGTAGCACGGGATCATGGGGGTTGTTGTCTTCGCCACCTCTGCCATCACTGCAGTCGGCCTCTTCAGGTGTTTCCTGTTTCTTTGTTACTGATGTGACCAGTTTGCACATCACACCACAGCGTGCAGCCATTTCCTAGAAACCACAGAGAACGAAAGAAACCGCAGCGGGTTCTATTAGCAGCACCACATGTAGTGTTAGCAGTGTGGAGCACCCATGCTAAGCTAGGTCTGGGTCATATGACTTTAAATCAATAACAGTTATTTCAAACTTAAACCTTGATTATGATTCATTATCGATCACTTTGGCACTTATTGATCTCTCTCTTCATTGAGCCCTGCTCTTCATGTCTCTCTCCATGTGTCTGATGGTCACCACTGATGAGACCCAATCAGGAGGAGAGGTGGTCTCCGAGTCATCGTTTCCAAGGGTTTCCAGACATCAACACAACCCCAGAGTCAGGTGGAGTCAGGTGGAGACAGGTGGAGACAGGTGGAGACAGGTGGAGGCAGGTGGAGTGGAGTCAGGTGGAGTCAGGTGGAGATAGGTGGAGTCAGGTGGAGTCAGGTGAAGACAGGTGGAGACAGGTGGAGTCAGGTGGAGACAGGTGGAGTGGAGTCAGGTGGAGTCAGGTGGAGTCAGGTGGAGACAGGTGGAGACAGGTGGAGTCAGGTGGAGACAGGTGGAGTGGAGTCAGGTGGAGACAGGTGGAGTGGAGTCAGGTGGAGTCAGGTGGAGTCAGGTGGAGACAGGTGGAGACGGGTGGAGTGGAGTCAGGTGGAGACAGGTGGAGTGGAGTCAGGTGGAGTCAGGTGGAGACAGGTGGAGTGGAGTCAGGTGGAGACAGGTGGAGACAGGTGGAGTCAGGTGGAGTGGAGTCACTAAGGACTGTAAAGGTTGACGGACAAAGAGACGTTGAGGACAGAAGCTGTAGCCGGTGATGACCCCTGAGGTCGGAGCCGTGCAGCACCTGACTCACTCACCTGTGTTGTTCAGAGGACGAGCTCCGACACAAACAGGATGTGAGCTGTTCTTCCTGTCTGTTCAGACTCAGCAGCAGATAACAGCGACAAACCTCGACACACTGACGACCAGAAACAGACACGTGCATCCAATAAGTATTGATAAGCATTAATAAATCAATACCTGATCTAAAGGAAACTTAAACTGTGTATTTCTGCTCTGGCACGGCGCCCCTCCCTCTGAACCCTCCCCACAGTTGAAACAGGATGTTGTTGCGTGGAGGCGGTCAGTGTGAAACTTCTGAAGACGCCATGAAGACGACTCTGCTCTTCCTCTGTGAGTACAGACAGCTTCAATTACTCATCAATAATCATATTGATCATCAGAAACACAAGCAACAGATGTACAGATGTTTTTAAACGGAGCTCTGACTCAGATACGTAGATATTTCAAACCTGTTCAACTCTTCAATTATCAAATATTATCGAGGTTATGAAGCTGAAAATCTGATCGAGAGAAAAGTTCATCAACACAAACTGTTGTTGTTTCAGTGTCGATCTGTCTGACGTCTGCCCACAGTCGTGGTGAGTTTCACTGTGTGTGTGTGTGTGTGTGTGTGTGTGTGTGTGTCCATCAGTCTGTTGTGTTGTTTTTCTGTGGATGTTGATATTTAAGTTTCTGCTTCATGAAGCTTAAAGTCTTTGATGGACTCTGGTTTGCACCTGCGGCCCGTCGCCCACCACTTCCTGTCTGACATCTGCTCGCTGCAGAGAGACGCCGTCCTCCCAGCAACAACCACAGCAGACGCTTCAGCACACTGCTCCAACATCTGATCAACAGCAGGGGGAGGGGTCAGGTGATCACGGGGGGGGGTTAGGTGATTACAGAGGGAGGGGGTCAGGTGATCACAGGGGGGAGGGGGGGTTTTTTTCAGGTGATCACGGGGGGGGGTCAGGTGATCACGGGGGGGGGGTTAGTGATCACAGGGGAGGGGTCAGGTGATCAACAGAGGGGAGGTGGGTCAGGTGATCACAGGGGAGGGGTCAGGTGATCACAAGGGGAGGGGGTCGCTGATCACAGGGGAGGGGTCAGGTGATCAACGGAAGGGGAGGGGGTCCAGGTGATCACAGGGGGAAGGGGTCAGGTGATCACAGGGGGAGGGGTCAGCTGATCACAGGGGGAGGGGTCAGCTGATCACAGGGGGAGGGGGTCAGGTGATCACAGGGGGAGGGGTCAGGTGATCACAGAGGGAGGGGTCAGGGTGGATGGATGTGCCAACAAATCATCAGACTGAAACACCTGTGACCTCTGTTCACCCTCTGTTTCCTGGCAACAGTCGAAGCTGTTCTTTTTAACACACCGTCATTCACTAACTAACACAGAGGTTAACTAACCCAAACCACCGTCTGTCCCTAACCACAACCGCAGCGTCGCCACATCATCAGACCATTGTTAAAGACGCAGGACAGCGGTCTGTGGCGTCGACACCGTTAACAGCACAGAAAACAAAGCGCTCTGGCAGCCATTGTTGTTCCACACCACAGACTGAAAACAAAGATGGCCGTCACCTCTGTGACGTCACCCTCAGGTTTGAAGCACACGGCGGGTGGTTCAAAGGTCAGGTGCCAGATTCACAACTAGAACTGTGCACCTGCTTCCTGTCTGTGAACCTGAGTCATGGTGCAACCGGGCCCCTCCACCCCCAGAGGTAGACACGAACAGACGAAGACACGCCCCTTATCACCTGTTGGATGCTTCTGCCTGCGTCACTGCTCATCAGTCAATGGAAAGAATCCAACCAATCAACTAATCAATACATCGCCTCAGTACTTAATGATTTTCACCTTCAGTCTGGAACTGGAGGATTTCTGTTTAAAAACATTTTACAGGGAAAAATCACTGAGTGAATCAAAGTTGATCTTTTTAAAACTTAAGTTTTTTTCTGAGGAAACTGAAATTAAATCAATTTGAAAGACTTTTTAAACCCAGTGTTGGTGCTGTGATGTAACCATCACTGCTCTGTCTCTGTCTGTCTGTCTGTCTGTCTGTCTACATGTCTCTCTCTGTGTCTGCCTCTCTGTCTGTCTGTCTGTCTCTCTCTGTGTCTCTCTCTCTCTCTCTGTCTGTCTGTCTCTCTCTCTGTCTGTCTGTGTCTCTCTCTCAGCCTCCGTCACAGTCGTCCCCAACAGGTCTCAGTACTTTGAGTACGAGGAGATCTCTGTGAGCTGTGAGTCTGGAGAGTGGACGGTGTGGAGATACACAACAAAGAGGTAACAACACACAACACAACACCACAATACAACACCACACCACAACACACCACAACACAACACAAAGAGATTAGTTCACTACAACAGACAATAACATAATACAACACTTCACCTCATTTTTGTGATATTTGAGAAATCAAAGTTTCCACTCATGTACATAGAAACAGGTGGAGACAGGTAGAGACAGGTGGAGACAGGTACAGACAGGTGGAGACAGGTGGAGACAGGTGGAAACAGGTGGAGTCAGGTGGAGTCNACACCACAACACAACACAACACAACACAACACAACACCACCACACCACCACACCACACCACACCACACCACACCACACCACAACACAACCCAACACAACACAACACAACACCACCACACCACCACACCACACCATACCACACCACACCACACCACAACACAACCCAACACAACACAACACAACACCACCACACCACCACACCACACCATACCACACCACACCACACCACAACACAACCCAACACAACACAACACAACACCACCACACCACCACACCACACCATACCACACCACACCACACCACAACACAACCCAACACAACACAACACAACACCACCACACCACCACACCACACCATACCACACCACACCACACCACAACACAACCCAACACAACACAACACAACACCACCACACCACCACACCACACCATACCACACCACACCACACCACAACACAACCCAACACAACACAACACAACACCACCACACCACCACACCACACCATACCACACCACACCACACCACAACACAACCCAACACAACACAACACAACACCACCACACCACCACACCACACCATACCACACCACACCACACCACAACACAACCCAACACAACACAACACAACACCACCACACCACCACACCACACCATACCACACCACACCACACCACAACACAACCCAACACAACACAACACAACACCACCACACCACCACACCACACCATACCACACCACACCACACCACAACACAACCCAACACAACACAACACAACACCACCACACCACCACACCACACCATACCACACCACACCACACCACAACACAACCCAACACAACACAACACAACACCACCACACCACCACACCACACCATACCACACCACACCACACCACAACACAACCCAACACAACACAACACAACACCACCACACCACCACACCACACCATACCACACCACACCACACCACAACACAACCCAACACAACACAACACAACACCACCACACCACCACACCACACCATACCACACCACACCACACCACAACACAACCCAACACAACACAACACAACACCACCACACCACCACACCACACCATACCACACCACACCACACCACAACACAACCCAACACAACACAACACAACACCACCACACCACCACACCACACCATACCACACCACACCACACCACAACACAACCCAACACAACACAACACAACACCACCACACCACCACACCACACCATACCACACCACACCACACCACAACACAACCCAACACAACACAACACAACACCACCACACCACCACACCACACCATACCACACCACACCACACCACAACACAACCCAACACAACACAACACAACACCACCACACCACCACACCACACCATACCACACCACACCACACCACAACCCCACAACACACCACAACACACCCCAACACAACACAAAGAGATTAGTTCACTACAACAGACAATAACATAATACAACACTTCACCTCATTTTTGTGATATTTGAGAAATCAAAGTTTCCACTCATGTACATAGAAACAGGTGGAGGCAGGTAGAGACAGGTGGAGACAGGTGGGCAGAAATGCACCCTGGGCCGTTTCTCTGTTCTAATCATCACAGTTCAAAGAGGAATCAGAGTTAATGATGACTGAAAGCTGAGGACATCAGACATGATCCAACACATCTGGACCAGGTTCTGACTCTGGCCAGATGTTGAATGGATTGAACACATCTGGATGGGTGACGATTCACTCATGGTTATGGATGGAGAATGCAACTGTTACCATGGTGACTGTGGGTTGATTGACGTTTGATATCCTGACACATGTAGATGACGGGTTTACTGGTGTGTTCCCAGTTTGCAGCTGTCCCAGTGTGGGTCGGGCTGGGGCAGCGGCACCTCCTCCACCTGCGACATGAAGACGGTCAAGCTGTCCACCAGCGGCGTGTACTGGTGCCAGTCTAAACGCGGGCGCAGCAGCAACGCCGTCAACATCACCGTCACCGGTAAGAGTCACGACACACTGTCACTGGGTGAACACGTGGAGCGGAGGAAGTGACCGCTCGTGTGTGTGACGACAGGCTCGTCACCACGGTTTCACAGGGAAGCGTTCACCACAACAGGAAGTGTCTCTCTGTACGGTGACTCATCTCCGTGGAAACCAAGACAGGACATGTCACACATGATGAGCAGAACTAAATGAGGAAACAGTCCTGAGCGAGTCTTGGTAACCAGCAGACAGGCTTCAGGTTTTCACTGTTTATGTCCTCGGAGCATTTCCAGGCTTCATCCGGCCGTGGCTCCGGTTTGTACAGTTACCATGGTAACGGCTGTTTACTTGTGGACAACCACAGTGTCCATGTGACTCTGCTCTGCAGGAGATCAGCAGACTGACTCTGCTCAGCCAGTTACCGCTCTGTTGTTCAGGCTCACCTAGCATTAGCATTAGCATTAGCATTAGCATAGCCACCTGGGCCCTCCACATGTTGCCATGGTTTCTCTAGGCTAATTCTCAGAGGACTGTAGATAGGGACAGGTAATGTTAAGATTTTAACGGTACAACTATTATTGATACTGCTTATTGATCCGGTAATTTAACGGTTCTCTTTTCAGTACTTTTTGTTATTTTGAAATAGAAAAAAACAAAAACAAATAAGGAGCATGATTAACATTTTTTGTGACAAAATTACCCAGAACACCTGTGTAACTGCGCATCAACCACCTGTACACCAGATAGCTTCACAGCAACAGCTGTTTTAAACTGAGTTGACAGTCAGAGGGTTTCTACCTGTGCTGAACGTCCCGTCATTATCAGGATGTATTATCAGGATTATTGTATGTTTTGGGAAGTTACAGACAACGCGACGATCAGGCAACAACTTTAAATCGCCCTCTGCGCCATGGAGAGACGTGTCCTGTCAACACAGGTAAACACCCTTAATGAAAGTCTTTGTCTTCCTCCAGATCAGCCAGTGATCCTGCAGAGTCCTGTCCTCCCTGTGACGGAGGGACATGATGTCACTCTGCGCTGTAAAACAAAGACCCCTCCCTCCAACCTCCCGGCTGCTTTCTATAAAGATGACGTCTTGATTGGCTCTGAGCTCACAGGTCACGTGACCATCCGCAATTTTTCCAAGTCTAATGAAGGTGCCTACAAATGTGTGATCAGTGACCACGGAGAGTCTCCACCCAGCTGGCTGCTGCTGAGCGGTAAGGATCATTGTTTCATGTTTTCATACGTATAGAAACTGGGCAGAAGTTCCTCAGGAGGAAGACAAAACTACAATCAGACGGAAAGTTAAATATCTTTCAACCTGCAGAGCATCTGTTGGTTTTTATTCTACAGCTCAACAAGTAATCGCAATATGGTCAAGTGCCGCACCTAAAACACAGGAAGTGCAGGGTTTTTTTGGTTGATAAAGTAAAATGTGTCGTAACAGACAATAAATGAAGAGTTCAGCTACAGACACGCACAGATCAGATGTTTGTCACCAACATCATCATTCTTATATTTTTCCATGTAAGTGAAACATGATCATCACAATGTGATCTCTTTGGATATTGTTCAGATCTCTTTTATTCTAAGTGATTGGGATCTAACTGTTAAAAGACTGGGGTGGTTCGTGTTGCCATGACGATCTGCGTCTCTGTCTGTCCACAGATGACTCTGAGCCGGTCTCTCTCACGCCGTCTCCAGACTCGTCCCAGCTGATCGAGTACGAGAACCTGTCCCTGAGCTGCGGAGCCGACAGCCGCCTCCGCGGCTGGACGGTCAGGAGGTTCACCACCTTCAGCGGCAAGCTGTCCAGCTGTGGAGAGAAGTGGGGGACTCCGACCTCCTCCGGCTGCCACATCCACACGGCCAAGCAGCCCGACAGCGCCGTGTACTGGTGCGAGTCGCCTGCCAGGCAGCGCAGCAACTCCGCCAACATCACGGTGTACGGTAGGCCACACAACACGAGCACACCGAGGGTTTCCGATGATCGGTATCGTTATTTCTTTTAACCGATAAAATCAAATATCTTTGAGTAAACGTGTGACTGTGTGACATTTTAAAAGGGGCGGGGTCAAACATCTTATTGGTGATAATAATAATAATAATAAAGAACATCTTCATGTCACCAGGTGAATCAGTTCACAGGTGAGAACAGAAATCCAGCAGTTAACTCCAGTCAGGCTCTTTACAGTCTGTGATTACAGCTGATAATCAGTAATATTCACTCAGTCATCAGTTTATTAGGAACATTAAACTGATGGAGTCTAATGCAACAGTCCTGCAGTAAATCCTCCTTCATGAAGGTTTTAACCTTCAGTTTGTATTAAAACAGTTTCAGACAGATGTTGATGATCATTGTGGAGGATGTGTGTGGAGCTGTGTGACATTATACAGCTGTTTCTCTTATTTACCTACATTCACTGATAGAAACACCTGGACGCCAGTACCAGGTAACAGGTTTATCCACAACTTCTGCCCAATGGAAAACCAGAGAAGGCGAGTCGAGCTGGTAGAAGTCTGTATCCATGTTGTGTTTTAAGTCTTTTCAGTCTGTTTCAGATAAAGCAGTGATCCTGCAGAGTCCTGTCCTCCCTGTGACGGCGGGAGAAAACGTCACTCTGCACTGTAAAACAAAGACCCCTCCCTCCAACCCCCCAGCTGCTTTCTATAAAGATGGCTCCCTCATCAAAGAGACTACAGGTCACATGACCATCCACCATGTTGACAAGTCTGATGAAGGCCTCTACAGCTGTGACATCAGAGGTCATGGAGAGTCTCCGCCCAGCTGGCTGTTTGTCAGAGGTGAGCTCAGGTGTGAACTCAACTGTCAGAAGTTATTTACATTTCAGATTTTAAGAAAATTTTATTTAACTTCACAAAAATGTGAAAAGCTTTTAGCTGATCAGTGATTTTAATCTGTGAGATCTGCAGCTTGTGAGTTTGTGGCCTGAACACAGAAACACAGTGACATCTAGTGGTGTGAACCATTTACAGCAGCTCAGGTGTCATGTTTAAACCTCATATAAATCTCTCTTTTGATCAATACATGACAGTATATGTGGGTCATGTCCCAGTATACATGCTACAGTCATTATCATTCTTCTTTCTATGGCTGCACGATACGCAAAAAAGAATATATAAATATATGATACTGCTATTATTTTGGCAGATATTGTAATTTCAGTTGGAGTGATGTTTTTACATTTAATTTTCAGTCAAAAAAATTAACACAAAATGTTGATAATGTGATTTTTGTTGGTTTTGTACCAAACAAACATGTTCCTTTACATCTGGAGAACATGATTTGGAGGTCGGGGCGTTTCTGTAACACCATAACACCGTAACACCATAACACCATAACACAGACGTCTGGATGGAGGAAACAGTCAAATCTCCACCTTGTGTTTCACCGATCTGACCTGAGTAAAGGCTTTAACGCCCTTTCACCTTCGATTACATCCATTTTTAAAAACTACAATATTAAATATTTGCTGTTTCCAGCTTCTTTGATATAAAGATTTGATGTTTTTGTTTCTCACACACGATAATAAACTGAATCTCAGACAAACAGGACATTTGTAGATGTGACACTGGAAATTATAATATAATATAATTTTATACACAAATCGATTAATCGGAGAACAATCAATAATGGTGGTTTCTCTTCACTTTCCTCTTACCTGTCGAATCAGAAGCCAACTTCAGCTGCGTCACACAGATCAGTCCGGTTGTTCGTCTGACTCCTCCCCCGCGGATGGAGCTCCTTGGCGGTTGATTAAACAGCCTGAACACGCTACCGGACCGTTAGCACCACTGCTAGCACCGCTGCTAGCACAGGAACTGCTAGCACCGGAACTGCTAGCACCGCTGCTAGCACAGGAACTGTTAGCACCGCTGCTAGCACAGGAACTGTTAGCACCGGACGGAACACGCCGCCCACAGAATCCACATGTCTTAACTGGACAAACTGGCAGCGATTTCTTCCCGGTACTTCACTCCCGCCAGTTCCCGCAAACAGCCACACAAAGGCCATACACACATTTTTATCCCGTTATTTCAAGATAACTAAGCTCGTTATCTCGGGATAAAATATATATGTACACACACACTTCTTCTTTTCATTAAATTTGACCGTGTTTGTTTATTTGTGATTATTCTGGGCTGTTGTTGGATGAAACAAACACTGAACGTGTCACTTTGGGCGTTTCTCAACAGTTCATTCATTTTTAGAAAACACTGATTGTAGATATTACCTGACCAGGTGTGTTTTGTTTTCCCAGACACCCACGGCTCAGCCTCAGGTTCTGAATCAGCCGTGACTATATTGACAGTGATCCGCTACATCGTGGTTTCCTCTCCATACCTGGTCTCCACTGTCCTCATGGTGTCCAAGTATCGACAACGGCCCACAGGTAACACCCTGAATCACTCACCGACCCTCTGATATCTAATGTTACCTCCACAACAGAGAGGTAATTATTAATCAATCAATCAATCAATCAACCCTGTATTATAACATACTTGATTTTAAAAAAAGAAAAACAGTCAACAGTTTCTCCTGGTTAATTTTATACGTTTTGATTACTTAACTCTGCAGAAAGTGCCCTGCCTGTTCCCATGACGACGCCCACACCTGGTGAGGACGATGAGGAATTGGACGAACAGTATGATGATGTCATCGCTAATGTCACCACCGAGCACCGTTTTTAAGCTAAACGCTCTTTTCAGTCTTATTTGCATGACTGTATGTTTTTTTGAAATGCTGTTTAACTTGTGAGATGAGATGTTGTCAGACAGACAGTCAGTCAGTCCACAGTTCATCCCTTTGACTTACCTTCCCTGACGTTGGACTACTTCTTTGTTGGTATTTTGTTTTTTCTGATATTTGTATAAAGTTTTTCTCCTGTCTTTTTCACTGTGTATTGAATATTTAGTTAATAAAGTACAATAACAGTGATGAGTTGTCACAGTGAGCTGTAAAACTTCATATTTATAAAGTCACATTAATGCTGACTTTCGTCTCGTACTGGTGTAATCAGGAGAATCACTCAGGGCATCAACACATCAAGACAGAGAGTGGCACAGACACAATGACCTGAGTTGTGTCCGAGAGCGTTTACATCTGCAGTTTACGTGTGTATCACATGACTCCTCCCTCCCTTCACAGGTTGGGTGTGGTGTTGAGTTGAAGAAAGAAGCCGCTCCACAGTGACAAGTTGTCTCACATCAAGGTCCATTTACTGACTTTGTAAAACATACTGACAGACATTAACCAGTAGAAGAAGAAGATGATGTTTTCTTCAGTAGTGACCGTCTCTGTGTCTCCTCACCTGTCTCCTGCCCTCTGCAGGTAAGCAGTGTGTGAGGAAAGAGAAAGTAGTTCAGCTTGTGGTGAAGTTACTGAGAGCTGCTGGGACTCACAGTCAGACGAGCTGGAGGGAATTCAATGTATTATATGTAATTTGGGCAAAACTAGATAATCCAGGAGAAGGCCTTAAAGAAAAGGATGAATTATATCAACCTGGTGTATCTCCCATAAATGTGGCCCCTGTGCTTTAATGAGTCATACTAACTCCGCTCTCTCCACCTGTCAGAGATTGAGGGAAGAGTGGGAGGTGTTTCTGTTACTTAGTTATTTCACACATTGTGTAAAAGTTTTAAAGAGGACAAGTTATGATTTTCTGAGTTTTCTCTTTCTCTTTCACACACGGTTATTTCTGCAGTTCACACATAATGTGCCTTAACGGGGGAGTGAGGCTCACAGCCTGTCAGTCTGCATTATTATGGATTTGTGATGTTAACCGTGTCACCGCGACCTGTTCATGTTAGTAAGAAGCAGCAGCAAAGATATAAATGCTTAAACGTTTGTCAGTATTGACACGCTATAACCTCGTTAGCTCTGACAAATTATCCATAATTTAACCACTTCATATTTCAGTTACTCTGAGCACAAAAGTATAATTCATTTAGATTTACCTGCATCGTAAACCAGCAGGACGGTGAAGCGCTGGTGACTCCCTACTTTGATCATGAAGTCCAACTGTCTGTTCTTCCATTATTTATACTGCGTTAGTCCATAAAAGTCCAGATTTAAAAAAAGCAATGGGGTTTTTCCTAAAAGTATTTTGCAAGTTAAGAATATTTTCATGTGAAATCTTTGCAGACTGTCAAGCGTCTGTATTCACAGCACTCCTCGGCAAGCTGACCAATCAGAGCACACTGGGCTATGATTGGTCTAATTAGTCTAATCAGAACATTAAAGCATCTAAATCTATTTTAGTCAACACCAAAAATAAAATGATGAACACTAAAAATGTCAATAATAGGTCCTCTTCAACACAAACTGGACATTAGAAACGTCATGGAGCATTTATCTCAGACTGATTTTGTTACAGAATAAAAGTTAACTTTAAGGAACTAAGGTGCAGTGCACACTAACTACTCTCAGTTCCTTTAGATTAACATGGAGAATAAAACTTTCAACAAGATACAAACACAAATCACAAGCACTCCTTCGTTTCTTTAGATTTTTAAGATGAAGAATAAATAAACAGAAAATTGGTGACGTGACATGAACTCCTGAGGCCACAGGAGAATCATTAAGGTCACATCTGATCTGAAATGAAGACAGTAACATGATGACTTTAATAAACATATGTCAGAACTGAAGCACATTGTACACAGGGGACAGTATGAATTTACTTACAGAGCAGCCACTGAAGAGACGTGTTCTTCATTGTGTTGTTTACTGATGTGAGAACAACAATCAAATCAAACCCACCTCCTTCCTGTTTGCTCTGTCGCTCAGTGTGGTTTTCTCTCCAGAATGTGAGGGGTGGGTTTGGTTAGTTGGTTAGATATCTTTACTAATATCAGGCAGTTTATTTAACTATTATGAACACATTATGAGCTCATTATAAACAAATTACTCCTGAGCTAGAATCAATGTTCTGTATTGATTTTTAAATTCTATTTATCCTTTTTAAAGCATTAAATGTCCTTACTCCAAATTACATTACAGGACCAGTATGTTGGATTTAGTGGCATCTAGTGGAGAGGTTGGAGATTGCAACCAACTGAATACCCCTCCCCTCCATTTCCAAGAATGTAGAGCCCCTTTTCCACTGGTCAAAAACCCACTAACACCTGATAACATCAGACTTTTGTCAGGAGTGGAGGGGGGGGACTGATTGATCAACCAACCAATCAGACTGATCGATCAACCAACCAATCAGACTGATCGAATAGACCAATCAAACTGATTAATCAACAGATCGATCACTCAGATTGATCAACAGACCAATCAAACGGATTTATCAGACATCAGAGGAGTTGAATCAGTGGAGCTGCTTCTGTTCCTGATGTCGACTGTTTCATCTTTGAACTGAGTTCTCTCTGTAGAGGAGACAGAAGACAGTGAGACAGAGACAAACAACCAGAGACAAACAACCAGAGACAAAAAACAAGAGACAAACAAGGAGAAACAAACAACGAGAGACAAACAACGAGAGACAAATAACGAGAGACAAACAAGGAGAAACAAACAACGAGAGACAAACAACTATAGACAAACAACGAGAGACAAACAATGAGAGACAAACAAGGAGAAACAAACAACGAGAGACAAATAACAAGAGACAAACAAGGAGAAACAAACAACGAGAGACAAACAACTATAGACAAACAACTATAGACAAACAACCAGAGACAAACAACCAGAGACAAACAAGGAGAAACAATCAACCAGAGATTAACACATAATCAGAGACAAACAACTGGAGACAAATAACCAGAGACAAAAAATCGGAGACAAACAACCAGAGACAAACAAATAACCAGACACAAACAACTGAGGACAAACAACCAGAGACAAACTGGAGACAAACAAATAACCAGAGACAAACAACTAGAGACAAACAACAAGAGACAAACAACCCGAGACAAACAACTGGAGACAAACAAATAACCAGACACAAACAATTGAGGACAAACAACCAGAGACAAACAAATAACCAGAGACAAAGAACTGTACACTAACATCTAGAGACAAACAACAAGAGACAAACAACCCGAGACAAACAACTGGAGACAAACAAATAACCAGAGAATAACAACTAGAGACAAACAACCAGAGACAAACAACTGGAGACAAACAAATAACCAGAGACAAACAACTAGAGACAAACAACTGGAGACAAACAACTGGAGACAAACAAATAACCAGAGACAAACAACTGTACACCAACAACTAGAGACAAACAACCAGAGACAAACAAATAACCAGAGACAAACAACTAGAGACAAACAGCTGGAGACAAACAACCAGAGACAAACAAACAACCAGAGACAAACAACCAGACACAAACAACTAGAGATAAAAAAACAAAACAACCAGAGACAAACAAACAACCAGAGACAAACAACCAGAGACAAACAACCAGAGACAAACAAGGAGAAACAAACAACGAGATACAAACAACTATAGACAAACAACCAGAGACAAACACATAATCAGAGACAAACAACTGGAGACAAATAACCAGAGACAAACAACCAGAGACAAACAATGGAGACAAACAAATAACCAGTGACAAACAACAAGAGACAAACAACCAGAAAATAATAACCAGAGACAAACAACTGGAGACATATAACCAGAGACAAACAACTGGAGACATATAACCAGAGACAAACAACTGGAGACATATAACCAGAGACAAACAACTGGAGACATATAACCAGAGACAAACAACTGGAGACATATAACCAGAGACAAACAACTGGAGACATATAACCAGAGACAAACAACTGGAGACATATAACCAGAGACAAACAACTGGAGACATATAACCAGAGACAAACAACTGGAGACATATAACCAGAGACAAACAACTGGAGACATATAACCAGAGACAAACAACTGGAGACATATAACCAGAGACAAACAATCAGAGAAAAACAAACAAACTAGAGACAAACAACTAGAGACAAATAACCATAGACAAACAAGTAGAGACAAACAACCAGAAAATAATAATCAGAGACAAACAACTAGAGACAAACAACCAGAGACAAACAAATATAGACAAGCAACCAGAGACAAACAAACAACAAGAGAAAAACAACAAGAGATAAACAACCAGGGAAAAACAAACAACCAGAGATAAAAAACTAGTGAAATACAAAAAAGCAGAAACAAACTACTAGAGACAAACAAACAAGGAGAGACATACAACCGGCAACAAATAACCAGAGATAAACAACCGGAGACAAACAAAATACAAAAGACAAAAAAAAAGAAAGGAAAAAAAAACAGAGACGAGACAAACAAGGACAGACAAAGAAACAAAGAGAGACATACAACCAACAACAAATTACAAGACATAAATAACCAGAGAAAAACAAACAACAGACAAAAACCTAGAGACAAAGAAACAAGCAAAGACAAACAACCATTGAAAAACAACCAGAAATATACTGCCAGAAACTAAATCAAAAGTAGAGACAAACAACCAGAGACAAGCAACCTGACACAAACAACTAGAGATAAAAAAACAACAACCAGAGACAAACAAAAAACCAGAGACAAAAAACTAGAGACAAACAACCAGAGACAAACAAGCAGAGAAATACAAACAAACAAACAACCAGAAAAAAAAACTACAGACAAACAAACAGAGATAAACAACCAGAAACAAACAACCACAGACAGACAAACAACAAGAGACAAACAAGCAGAGAAAAACAAACAACCAGAGACAAGCAGAGACGAGACAAACAGAGACAAAAAAAAAACAAAGAGAGACACACAACCAGCAACAAACTACCAGAGATAAACAAGTAGAGACAAACAAACAAACAAGGACAAACAAACACAGAAAAACAAACAAGCAGAGACAAACAACTAGAGACAAAAAACAAACAAAGAAAAACAATCAGGGACAAACAAACAACCAGAGACAAAAAAACAGAGAAAAACAAACAAGCAGAGACAAGCAAACAACCATAGAAAAATAAACAATACTGACCTTTGACCTTGAAAGTCACTGCTGTCCCTCTCAGTAAGTGTCCGTCCTTGTAGACTCTACAGGTGTAGTATCCACTGTCTCTGACTGTGAGGTGTTTCAGGGTCAGACTGAGGTCTCCAGTTCTCAGTGGATCGTCCTTCATCTCTGTTCGGTCTCTGTAAACCTGGTCCTGTTCTTCAGGTCTGTCAGAACCGTTCTGATACACATGGACCTTCCTACTGTCTCTGTCCGTCCACTCCACTCTGACGTATCCAGACAGGTGAGGTGTGGTCTTGAAGGGCAGCTGGACAGACTCCTCCCCCTCCTCCACCTCCACCCTTTGACCTGAGAGGAGAACAAAGCACAACATGAGCTGCACAAACAACAGCAGCAGTTTTTAATCTCTTTATTGAAGGATTACAAAGTTGTAGAGAAACCTGAAGGACAGAACCAGATCAGACCAGAAGGAACAGGGGACACTAATCTAGAAACTAAAAGCAGGTGTTGAAGGTGTTGGAGACCATCAGAGTCTTGATGCTGTTGGGATTGTTTTGTCTCCTCTGTCTTTTCTTTGTCACATTTACACTGATGGATGAAAACTGACCATTAAAGAGAAGAAGAGTTCAAGTCCAAACATGTCTGTTGACAAACAACCAACCAGAGACAAACAACCAACCAGAGACAAACAACTAGAGACAAACAGCCAGAGACAAACAACCAACCAGAGACAAACAACTAGAGACAAACAACCAGAGACAAACAGCCAGAGACAAACAACCAACCAGAGACAAACAACTAGAGACAAACAACCAGAGACAAACAACCAACCAGAGACAAACAACCAGAGACAAAAAGCCAGAGACAAACAGCCAGAGACAAACAACCAACCAGAGACAAACAACTAGAGACAAACAACCAGAGACAAACAAACAACCAGAGACAAACAACCAGAGACAAACAACTAGAGACAAACAACCAGAGACAAACAACTAGAGACAAACAACCAGAGACAAACAACCTACCAGAGACAAACAAATAACCAGAGACAAACAAACAAACAAACAAGAGACAAACAACCAGAGAAAAACAAGCATCCACAAACAACCACAGACAAACAACCAGAGACAAACAAACAAATAACCAGAGACAAACAAACAAACAACCAGAAACAAACAACCAGACACAAACAGCCACAGACAAACAACAAGAGACAAACAACCATAAACAAACAAAAAACAAGAAACAAACAAACAACACTGACCTTTGACCCAGAGATTCACTGCTGTCCCTCTCAGTAAGTCTCCGTCCTTGTAGACTCTACAGGTGTAGTCTCCTGTGTCTATGACTGTGAGGTGTTTCAGGGTCAGACTGAGGTCTCCAGTTCTCAGTGGATCTTCCTTCATCTCTGTTCGGTCTCTGTAAACCTGGTCCTGTTCTTCAGGTCTGTCAGAACCGTTCTGATACACATGGACCTTCCTACTGTCTCTGTCCGTCCACTCCACTCTGACGTCTTCAGACAGGTGAGGTGTGGTCTTGAAGGGCAGCTGGACAGACTCCTCCCCTTCCTTCACCTTCACCTCTTGACCTGAGAGGAGAACAAAGCACAACATGAGCTGCACAGACAGCAGCAGCAGTTTTTAATCTCTTTATTGAAGGATTACAAAGTTGTAGAGAAACCTGAAGGACAGAACCAGATCAGACCAGAAGGAACAGGGGACACTAATCTAGAAACTAAAAGCAGGTGTTGAAGGTGTTGGAGACCATCAGAGTCTTGATGCTGTTGGGATTGTTTTGTCTCCTCTGTCTTTTCTTTGTCACATTTACACTGATGGATGAAAACTGACCATTGAAGAGAAGAAGAGTTCAAGTCCAAACATGTCTGTTGACAAACAACCAACCAGAGACAAACAAACAACCAGAGACAAACAACCAACCAGAGACAAACAACCAACCAGAGACAAACAACTAGAGACAAACAACCAGAGACAAACAACCAGAAACAAACAACCAGAGACAAACAACCAGAGACAAACAACCATAAACAAAGAAACAACAAGAAACAAACAAACAACACTGACCTTTGACCCTGAGACTCACTGCTGTCCCTCTCAGTAAGTCTCCGTCCTTGTAGA